GATTTCTGGTGGCTACTATACTAAATAAAAAAGTTTATATTCTGGAATATTTGTGTATTTAGGGTATGTCTGATTAGTGGCAAACACATGATATTGTTAATTTTCTATTTCTGATTCATTTTCTCTTGTTATTCTTATTTTATGCATATGATGAAAGTTTAGTCTTATACTGTTACTTGTTAGCAGGAGTTTCCACAGATATTTTGTGCATTAGTACACTAGAAATAGTTATGGGACACATAAATATGCAATCACAAAGTGGAATTTACTATTGGAGGGAAAAAATACTTCCTCTCTTTCTTTCCACCAGTGCTCTTTCTTTCACTAGATGGCTAAACATTCACAGTATCAGGCCAAAGAGCAGTGGTTTAAAATGATGGACATTGGTGGCTAGCCTGATTCTGAAAGACACCGAGGGATTCAGGAACATTGGTGAACAGTTGTTGGGCCTTCTTCCTTCTCATCTATTATTTCAACATAAGAAAAAAGCCCTGGGAAGCTGAATGAGGATGCAAATCACCAGCTACTGCTGTGCAAATGCCAGAGATCGATATCATTATATAGCTCACATTTATATAGTGCTTACTATGTGCCAGGCACTGTGCTAAATGCTTTACAATTATTATCTCATTTGATTCTCACAACAACCCTGGGGGGTAGGTGCTATTATTATCTCCATTTTACAGAGGAGGAAAGTGAGGTAAACAGAGGTTAAGTGACTTGCCCAGGGTCACACAGCTAATAAGTGTCTGAAGCCAGATTTAAACTAAAGTCTTCTTAACTCCAGGCTCAGCACTCTATCTGCTGCACCACCAAATAAATCTTCATACTGCTACTTAGAATATGTCTCTATACCTCCTAAATACCTGGGTAGAGGGCAGATAATGACTCCTAATGACTCTGTTGTTATTGTTCAGTCCTTTCAGTCTTTGTAGGACTCTGAATGACCTCATTTGGGGTTTTCTTGGCAAAGATACTGGAGAGGTTTGCCATTTCCTTTTTCAGCTCATTTTACAGATGAGGAAACTGAGGAAAACAGGATTAAGTGACTTGCGCAGAGTCACATAGGTAGTAAGTATCTGAGCCCAGATTTGGCCACCTCACTGCCCCTAATGCCTCCTAGTTCTCTTCAAATGAGACAGTGTTCTCACATGATTATGGCCCAATGTTTAAGAAATAAATTTACCTGTTCTAGGACCTGTACCTTGTCCTCCACAGAATCCTTATTGCCACTGACTTTTATTTGTGGACACCTAAATATATGTAGGAGGGAAGCTAGTAGGTGCAGTAGATAGAGCTCCAGGCCTGAAGTCAGGAAGACTCATCTTGAGTTCAAATATAGGCTCAGACACTTACTAGCTATGTGGCAAGTCAATTAACCCTGTTTGCCTCAGTTTCTTCATCTATAAAATGAGCTGGAGAAGGAAATGGCAAATCACTCCAGTATCTTTGCCAAGACTACCCCAAATGGGGCACAAATAGTCTGACACTACTGAAATGACTGAACAACAAAGTATATGTAAAGTAAGGATGGCTTTATGGCTTTGTGAAAATTCTGGGGAGACTTGAGTGGAACTTAACTTCTATAGAATGTGAGCAAAAAGACAGTACCATGGACTGGGAGATATAGTTAACATCGCAATGTAGAGAAAGTTTAGGTTCAATAAGAGAAAACTTGAATTTTCCTTTTCTTTTCTTTCAAAAAAGAGAGAAGACTTACCAGTCTAGGTTATGTAGAGAATCATAGAATATTAGAGTTAGATTAGACCTCGAAGATCATCTAGGTTACTCTCCTCATTTTACAGATTAGGAAACTTGAAGTGCATCAGTGACTTTGAAGTGTTGTGTAAGGCTGCTGGCTTCTGGGGAATTTAACCTGGGACACAGGGTAAAGGAAATGTATAGGTCAGTGGACAGATCATTGCCTCTAGAGTCAAACTAACTTCCAATCCTGCCTGTCATATTTCCTTACAGGTGTGATCTTAGGCAAGTTTTTTTAATTTCTCCAAGTCTCTGTTTCATCTGTAAAATGAAGAGGGTGGTCTATGAGGTCCCTTCCAGCTTTAACGCTAGAATTCTAATGGGCCCAGAATCCTGAACTTTCCTGAGCTATGTGTCTATGAAGCTAATAACTCATTCTAGAATATTAGTTTATCTGTGCTATTTATATAACCTAAAAGTTTTTTTTAACTTATTAAGGACTTTTGTGGGTCATTCCCCAATATTCTTGCCACATATCATTGAAATTGATTCTTTGATATCTATGAGACATTCTATATCCCTAGCCCCCCACTCCTCTGTCGAGAATAGAAAAGCATGCAGATAGGCTAAACCAGGTTGAGGGTAACCAACAGGCCTCAAACCTCAGTTAGGGGAATGTTACCTTAAGCAATTGAAGACTTCCCCAGGTGGAAAGAGCAGATGAGGACAATTTGTTCCAAGGCCATGAAGGCAGCTGAAGCAGGCTTGGTCAGACATCAAAGGTGCCAAGCCATTGCCAGTCCTCTTGACTTTTGTCCTGCCGCTGGACTTTGATGACTCTGGAGGAGAGAGTTAGGCTAATACCTCTGTGCTACTCTGCGTTACTTAAATACAATTTACACACAAGTTAAGACATCACCTGTGATGTCATTGATCCCCTTCAAAAATGAAGGACAAACAATATATTTTATAATCAGTTTCCAAGGATCAGATAAAAGGTTTATTCATAGTAAGTGTGAGAGTAAGGGAGTATGTTTTATAATCTGTTTCCTTGAATCAAACGAAGAGCTTATTCATAGTAAATATGCATAATGCTTTCAAAACACCACAAAATTGTACTTAAAAAAAACTGATAGAGATTTCCCACACCCCCCAAAAAAATACTTATAAGACATATTCTAACTATACGACAAAAGGGTGGATTATTCTGTGTATTTTTTCATCCCATTTCCAAGTCACTTTGATGCATTTAAATTCCAGTTCTCTGATAGACCTAAATAATACTCTCTTTTGCTGTGCTACTAAATGTTAACTTAACCATGTTATTGAAACAACAACCTGACATTTTGTTGAAAGCATGAACAGAGCAGATTCAGAAAAGAAGCTTGGAGAGCCAGGTTTATACCAGCAACTTTGCTGTTGAGTTATTTACTCAAACTCTAACATCTTAACATCAAATCTAGGTTCCTCTGAGCATCAGTTTCCCCCAATTGTCCTCCCTCACCCTACAGCTCTTCAAAAATAGTAAAACCTAAGAGAACATTGTAAACAGTACCAGCAATATTGTTTTAAGAATGACTTTGAGCAAATAAGTCATCTTGAGTCTTATAAATACCCAAATTAATTATAAAAAACATATGAAGAAAGACACTATCTGCTTCCAGAGAAAGAAGTGATAAACAGAAGTAGGTATAGAATAATTTTACACATATACGTATATACACATATACACCTATTTGTGTCTAATGTAGGCATCTCTGGCGTGGGGGGAGGGAAGAAAAAAAGGGGAAAAATGTACGTGATAACTTTATATATTTAAAAGGAATGGCAGGTTTTACATAATAGATTTTCAGTTTCATGTGCAATCATCTTTTTTATTATACTTTGTTATGGAAAGACTTTTTTATTCCATAAATTTAAAAAAATTAATTAATTAATTTAAAAAAAAAAAAGCACCTCCTGAGCTCAAGAGAAAAAAAAAATAGTGAAACCAAACATCTAGCTCTAAGATCTATTCGGATTGAAACCAGCCAGATACAGTAGCTACAGAAACAGATTTCCTTCTGTCTTTATGTCCTGGTACAGTTAACCATTAAGGAGGGAAAACCTGAGTTTTGGTTTGAACCTATCTATTCCAGGTCCCTAGAAAGTATGTAAAACATGCTTGCCAATTGATGGGAAAAAATGAAATGATGCTGGAGAATAGATGTATATAAAAAAAAAAGAAGGAAAGTTGGCTATGAAGTTATGGGAGAAGTTCTTAGCATTATCTCTTACACTTAATAAGCAATAGTAGCAAGGAGACAAATTAGCAATAGAGGAAAATGCATCATCTCGTGTTTGGAAAGTAAATTTGTAAGCACTTAATTTTCTAAGCACTTTCCAAAACAGGGCAAACAGGGCAATGTGAAGAATTCTGGTATTTTAAGTGAAATGCTTTGGGCAAATGATTGCTTGAAGGCCATGATAATTTTCTCTTGATGAAAAAAAATCCATTTCACTTACCTTTCAGGAAAATAAAAAGACATTTTAAAAATTCTTGCAAACTCAGAACTGACTATAGGAATTGCAGAATTTCATAGCTGGTATTTATATGATGCTTTAAGGTTTTCAAAGCACTCACAAATATTCTCATTTTATCCTCAGAATAACCCTAAGAGATAAATTCTTTTATCATCCCTATTATATAGATAAGGAACTGAGATTAAGTGATAGCCTAGGGTCACACAGCTAGTAAGCATCTGAGATAGGATTTGAACTCAAGTCTTCCTGAATCCAGCTGTAGCACTCTATCCACTGTCCCACCTAGCTACTAGAAGGCGCTTCAGAGATTATTTAATTCAGTATACTCATTTTATAGATAAGGAAACTGAGGCCAAAGAAGTTAAATGATTTGCCCAATGTCATAAAAGAGTAAGTGACATTTGGGATTTAGAGCCTAGGTCTTATGACTCTAAAGTCATGCGTTCAGTTGTTTAACAAATATTTATTAATCATCTATGATATATAATAAATTCACTGTGCTAGACTGTAGAGATGCAAACATAAAATGAAACAATCCCTGCCTTCTGATTACGGTATTCTTTCACCGCAGGAAAGTAAAATGATCCAAAAAATGAATGTATGCAGAAGTTTGGGGACCAGTGTAAAATCAGATCTCTGTGTTACGATAATTTCTTCAAGTGCTTTCCAACACCTTGGTTTCACTTTTCCTCTGTACATGCCCTATTTGATATTTAGTATTTAGCTTAAACTAGATTTCTTTACCACTCTTTTTTTTTTCCAACTTTCTCTTTTAGGATTACTCAAACTCACAAGAAGAAAATTCCTATCTGACCACGGCAGTTGTGCTGAACAGGGTTAGTACACCAGGGCAAGCTTTATGTACAGAGAGGAGGCTTGTGCTGCTTTTAAACAAGTGAGATTTGGTGCCTTTCTCTACTTCTTGACAGCTAGGACAGAACAGCAAAGAGGAAAACCCTCAAATGACAAGGGTTGGGTTTTGTTGCTGCTGCTGTTGTTTTTCCAACTCATCCATTCCTCTCTTCCTATAGCGTTTGAAGGTAAGAGCTAAATCCTCATAATTTCAGCCCTCTGGGCCCTTTATGATATTGTGTTATCAGTAAATATGTTATAGCTCCTTACATTATCTTTACATGACTTAAATGTTTGGAAATGAATTGAGATACCACCTGATTAACATCTTAGTCCATAAAAGAATCTAAATTTGAGCAAGGGAGTTATAACATAGTATGATTTTTGAAAATCTCCAAGGAAATCTTATACCCAAAAATGAAAGCATGTGCAAATGTGTAGGGCTATAATTTCTTGACAGGGATTTTGTTGAAAACTGTGATTAAAGTGATTTATTCATGTTCACTGGAACTGAGAGATGGAATTGTAACCTTCTACATGCTATTTACATTCCCTTATCTTTCTGAAATAAGAAGGCAGTGTTATCCTACCAAACACATTTTTGCCTTATACTCAGTTTCATCATTAATTAATATTTATTGAATATTTACACTGTTCTATGATTCCTAAAACCAAATAGAACTTTATTTCAATCTCTTATAAAGAGGTGGCCTTTCTCCTTGTCAAAGCCAGCCCACCATTGCTGCCATCCCCTCCTGTTTTCTCCAGCAAATTGCCCCACTATCCTGTACTGACTCTCTAATCTTCAATCTCTTCATAACAACTAGTACCTTTCCTCCTGCCTTCAAACATGTCTCCCACATTCTTTAAAACACATACACACACACACATACATACACACAACTACTCACTATATCTGAGCATTCCCAGTAGCTATCATCCTCCATCTCTCAACTAAACTCGTTGAAAAAGCTATTTATGGAAATTGAGGGGATGCCTATCAATTAGGGAATGGCTGAACAAGTTATGGTATATGATTGTGATGGACTGCTGTTGTGCTATAAGAAATGAAGAGCGGCATGCTCTCAGAGAAACCTGGAAGGACTTACATGAACTGATGCAAAGTGAGATGAGTATCAACAGGAAAACATTGTACACATTCGCAGCAATATTGTAAGATGATCAACTGTGAATGACTTAGCTATTCTCAGCAATACAATAGTCCAAGACAACTCTGAAGGACTTGTGATGAAAAATTCTATCCAACCCCAGAGAAAGAACTGATGGAGTCTTGATACAAACTGAGGCATACTTTTTAAACTTTCTTTATTTTTCTTGGGGTTTTTTGGGTCAATTTTATTTTTTACAACATGACTTTAGTGGAAATATGTTTTACGTGACTATACATGTATAACATATCAAATTGCTTCCCTTCTCAATGAGGAGGATGAGAGGGAAGGAGAGAATTTGGAACTCAGAATTTTAAAAACAAATGTTAAAAATTCTTTTTATGTATAACTGGGGGAAAATAAAATATTAAATAAATAATTTAAAAGAACATTTTAAAATTAATTCAAAAAGAAAAAGCTATCTATACTCAGTTCCTCTCCTCTCATTGTTCTAAACCCCAGGCAGTTTGATTTCCAATCTTATTATTTGGCTGAAATTTCTCTCTCCCAAGTTACCAATGATCTCTTAATGACCAAACCTAATGATCTCTTCTCAATCCTCATTCTTCTTGATCTCTGCAGCATTTAACACCATTGACCACCTTCTCCTAAATAACTCGGTCCTCTCAAGTTTTTTGGGACAGCGCTCTCTTCGAGCTTTCCTCCTGCCTTTCCTGGGTGCTCTTTCTCAGTATCCTTTGGTGGTTCTTCATCTAATGCTTCCTGAGCTCTCACCTCTTTTCTCTCTTGAGTCTATCCCTTGGTGATCTCATCAGCTTTCACAGGGTACATTTATCATCTCTCTGCAGATGACTCCCAAATGAACATCCAGCACTACTCTCTCTCCTGAGCTCCAGTTCCACTACGTGAACTGCCCATTGAAAGCATCACAAATGCAATATATCCAAAATAGAACTCATCTTTCTTTCCAAACGAAATCTGTTTCTAAAGTTCCCTATTCGTGTTGAAGTCATCACGAGCTTTCCAGTTACCTCAGATCACAACATCAGTGTCATTCTCAATTCTTCATGCTCATTCACCCCACATAGAGAATCAGTGGTCAAATCTTGTTTCTCTTTCCATACTTCTAGTGCGCGTCTTTTTCACTCATTCAGTCACCACCTCTCACCTGGATTATTGCAATAGTATTCTAATTGGTCTCCTTGTCTCAAGTCTCTTCCTACTCCAATCTATCCTCCACACAGCTGCCAAAGCAATTTTCCTAAGGCATAGATATGACCCTGTCATCCCCAAGAAACAATTAGGTGGTGCAATGCATAGAGAGCATTGAGCCTGGGTTTAGGAAAACCTGAATTTAAATCTGGCCTGGGACATTTCCTAGCTGGTATGATCCTGGGCTAGTCATGGAACTACTGACTGCCTCAGTTTCCTCATCTGTAAAGTAGGGCTGATAATAGCTCCTACCTCCTAGAGTTGCTGTGAGGATCAAATGAAATATTATTTGCACGTTTAACTAATTAGTCTTAGGATATCTTGATGCAGGCAGGAGCTTCGAATTCTGCTCATATTTCAAATGAAAAAGTGTGTCTCATTGATCTCATTTTGTGTAGCTAGATCTGTCCATAGAGCCCCTACCCCCACCCCCCTTTAAGCTGTTACTAAATTGAGGTTCTAAAAGAAGTACTTCTTACTCCTATATCCTGGTTGTGACACCATTAGCAAGTCTTAGGTTGTGGAGCTGGGTCGTAGAAGCAGTGGCCTACCTTGTTCTTAACATTTCATTATTAACACAATGGGATTATATATACTTGTCCAACTATTTTGATCAAAAAGTTTTATAAATTTTTAATGTTTAACTAAAAAAAAGAAATATTATTTGTAAATTGCTTAGCACAGTGCCTACCATGTAGTAGGAACTTAATAAATACTCTGTTCCATGCTGTTCTCAGACGAAGAAATTAAAGCCATCTGTAGTCATATGAAAAAATGCTCTAAATCACTATTGATTAGAGAAATGCAAAGCAAAACAACTCTGAGGTACCACATCACACCTATCAGATTGGGCAACATGGTAAAACAGGAAAATGATAAGTGTTGGAGAAGATGTGGGAAAATTGGAACACCAATGCATTGTTGGTGGAGTTGTGAAATGATCCAACCATTTTGGAGAGCAATTTGGAACTATGCCCAAAGGGCTAAAAAATGTGCATACCCTTTGACCCAGCAGTAGCACTTCTAGGGCTATATCCCAAAGAGATCATGGAAAAGGACCCACATGTACAAAAATATTTATAGCAGCTCTTTTTGTGGTGGCAAAGAGTTGGAAATTGAGGGAATGCCCATCAATTGGGGAATGGCTGAACAAGTTGCAGTATATGAATGTAATGGAATACTATTGTGTTATGAGAAATGATGAGCAAGCAGACTTCAGAAAACCTGGAATGACTTGTGCGGACTGATGTTGAGTGAAGTGAGCAGAACCAGGAGAACATTGTACACAGTAACAGCCACATTGGGCAATGACTAATATTGATAAACTTAACCCTTGTCAGCAATATAAGGATCTAAGACATCTCCAAAGGCCTCATAATGGAAAATGCTATCCACATCTGAAGAAAGATCTATGGAGTTTGAATGCAGATCAAAGCATACTATTTGCTATTTTTTTCTTTTGTTTTGTTTCCTCTCTCTGGTGGTTCCTCCTGTTGGTTCTAATTCTTCCTTACAACTTAAGTATTGTGAAAATATGTTTAATGGGAATGTATATGTATAGCCTACATCAGATTGCACGCTGACTTGGGAAGGGAAGGGGGGAGGGAGGGGGAGAAAAATTTAAAACTCAAAGGCTTATGGAAGTGATTGTTGATAAATCAAAATAAATTAATAAAAAAATACTCTCTTCCTTCTTTCTTTCCTTTCTTCCCTATTCAATAAAGTCTAGTGGTTCCCTATTACTGTTAGGATCAAATATAAGTTCTTCTATTTGGCATTTAAACCCTTTCATTACTTGTCTTCTGGCACGTGCTTCTTCTCCACAAATGCTGTGGTCTGGCCATACTGTCCTATTTGTTATTCCTCACACACAATAATCATTGCTCTTTGTGCTGGCTGTCCCCCATTCCTGTATTGTTTTTCCTCCTCACTGATGTCTTTTAGAATCCCTTTCCTTTAAGATTTAGCTCAAGTACCACCTTTTGTAGGAGTCCTTTCCAGTAACCGCAGATGCTCGTACCTGCCCCTCTAAATTTACCTTGTATTTTTTTTTGTATGTTTCTTTACCTCTATACATATATGCTCCTTTAGGTCAGGGGCTTTTTCCTATTTTTCTTTGTATCCTTAGCACTTAGTATAATACTTAGCAATAGTAAACACTTAATAAATGTTATTTTATACTATCATTTACTTTTCTATGTATTACCAACAAAAACCAGGAAGAAAGGATGGAAAGATAGATTCCATTTAAAATAACTACAGACTATATAAAATACTTGGGAGTCTACCTTTTCATTCTGAGTAGCAATTTGGAGCCATGTTCCAAAAGTTAAGAAACTGTGCATACCCTTTGACACAGTGATAGCACTATAGCCTATATTTCAAAGAGATCAAAGAAAGAGGAAAGGACTTAAATGTACAAAAATATTTATAGCAGCTATTTTTATAGTGGCAAAGAACTGGGAGCTAAAGGAGTACCCGTGAGTTGGAGAATGACTAAACAAATTATGGTACATAATTATAGTACATAAAATAATGGAATTCCACTGTTCTAATAGAAATGACAAAAGGAAAGTTTCAGAGAAACTGGGAAGATTTGTATTAACTGGTATAGAATGAAGTGAGTAGAACCAGGAGAATAATTTATGTAATAATAGAAATATTCACAACTTTGTTACAACAATGTTTACAGATTTGGAAGACCTAAGATTATTGCAATGACCGATCATGATTCCAGGGGAATGAAAACGAAGCCTACTACCCATCTCTCAAGACAGGTAATGAATACAAGATACAGAAAGAGACAGATAAATATTTATGTACATAATCCATGCAGAAATTTTTTTTTTGCTAGAACATAATATATTTGTTGTAAGTACTTTTAAGGGGAAAAGCAAAAGGAGGAGAAAATACATTTTTTGTTCATTAAAGACATAATGAAATTTCAAATATAGATGCTACTTGATTGAAATCAGTAGAGTATGTGCTCATGAGTTACCACTTTCTAAGTTAAAAATTAATTTGTATCTTTTTATCTGTTTGGATGGGATATGTGTTTTTAGTGGTATAGCGGACTCCCAATGAGGAACCTGTTCTGCAATTTATACTCTTAGAGAGCTGCCTGTGGGTACCAAGAAGTTATACTACTTGACTAAGGTTATACAGACAGATGTGTGAGAAACACATGGCACCTAAATCTTGGTTTCCTTGACTCCACAGCAAGTTTTCTTAATCCACTATGCCACATTTTCTTTTTTTAAAAAATAATATTAATATTTTATTTTTATGGCGAATTTTAATTTTTTAAAAATAAATGCACTATCTGTGAATGTTTGCTGTTTCCTTTGGGCACACAGTGAAATCAGCTCTTCTCTAAGGAGAACCTATGAACCAACTTTTTTTTTTTTTTGGCTAAAATTCTCATGTCTTCTGATTTCATCTATAGTAATAGAAACACATTCTGATAGTTCATTTCCACTAGTAATATAATGAATATTTGGTCACTGGAAAAATATTTCATATTTAGAATGCCAATTGTCCAATTCTTGGCACCCTTTCCCACCATTCTGTTACCATCTTTTTAGAAATAGGGATGTGGAAGCAGAGGAGGACCACATCAGATGGCAGGTCTTTATCTGTTTTTGTTTGTCTAATGAGTTGCTGTGACCAAATAATCCACAACCTACTAGTCAATATACTAACAATAAGCTTTTTTGTATTTAATTTTTGTATTTAATTTTTGTATTTAATTTTTTGTATTTTATTTGTATTTAATTTTGTTTAATGTATTTAATTTAAATACATTAATTAAATAATGTATTTAAATTTGTATTTAATTTTAATTTTGTATTTAATTTGTGTTTAATTTAATTTGAATAACTCTTTTTAATAATCCTAAATTGTTCCCTAACACAAAACCCCCATCGTTTTTTATCAGTATTCATCCAGTCATAGAGGCAGCTCACATGGCAAAGTAAAGAGTCTTGACTCCTACATCAAGATGCTTTGGAATCAAATCCCATGTCTGACTACAGCAGTGATACTAGGCAAGTCCTTTAACCTCCATGTACCTCGGATAACTCACTATCACATATCTAATAAGTCATAAATGGGTCATAATATGTGTTGGTGGAAGAAATTCCCATTCCAGGAGTCCTTAGAGTTTCTGAAATCACAAGGATGTATGCACGTTTCCGTTCCATAGTTGCAAACAAAAAATACTATAGTTGCGTAGACCTCAAAATTTCTGGTGATCAAAAAGTCAATCAATGGGGAGATGCATAGTAGATACACATTAACAGCAAATACTTGTGTGAAAGAAGTGGCATAAAAAAGATATCCAGGAAATGTATGATTAGAAGAGGAGTCAGGCTAGTCGGGTAGCAAGAGTAAAGGATAGCCGGTGGACAGTCTGAGGGCTGACTTTGTGTTCACTGAATATTGAACACCTCCCAGAAGGCCTCCAATGAACTAGGTAGATCATCTATGGAGGAATTCCTTGAATTATCGTTATCTCAAGGTATGTTTTTCATATGAGTGGGTGCTTATATACACATATATGCACACAAAGACATATATATATGTATATATATATATGTTTAAGTGTGTGTTGATGAAAAAATAGTATGATGTAGTGGAAAGAATATTGGCTATGGAATCAGAAAACCTAGGATTTAATCCTGTTATTGTCACTACCTTCCCAAGTGACCTTGAACAAGTGAGTTTCTCCCTTTGGGTCTCAGTTTCCTTATTTGTAAAATGGACAAATTGAAGTAGAGGACCTTTCACATTTCCAATTCTAAAGCCTTTTTTTCCCTCCAATTCAAACAACCATATCCTTTTTGTTTCTACAAAAGGGTGTTCAGATATTTGTAATAGTCAAAATGACTTATTCACTCAAAGTCGTTCTTAAAACAATATTGCTGTTGCTATATACAATGTTCTCTTGGTTCTGGTCATTTCACTCTGTTTTTCCATGTCACAGTAGTATTCCATCACAATCAAATACCACAACTTGTTCAACTGTTCCCTAATTGATAGACATCTCTGCAATTTCCAGTTCTTTGCCACCACAAAGAGAGCTGCTATAAACATTTTAGAACATATAGGTTCTTTTCTTTTTTCCCTAATCATCCTTGGCAATGGACCTACTAGGAGTATTGCTGGTTCAAAGAGTATAGGCAGTTTATTAACTCTTTGAGCATAATTCCAGATTGCTCTCCAAAATGATTGGACCATAGCTATAGTTGGTATCACAAAATAACTTACTTTATTCAAGATAACTATTGACATATTTGTATTTTTATAATTAAAAATCTACGCTTATAAGTGATGCCAGAGCATCTGATATGCAATGTAACAAAGTTACTGGATGATCAATTTCGTGAGTGTGTGTATAAATATATGTTTTTGTGTATGTATATATGTGTGTGTATGTACTTATATATATATATACACATACACACATACACACATATTTCATTCAGGGAAATTTACACAGTGTAGTTCATAGAATCATAGAGTCTTTTAATTGAAAAAGGATCTTAGTGGTCATCTAGTCCACTCTTCACCTGAAAGATGAATTTTCTCTGTGACTAGTTGTGGTCACTGAACAAAAGGTCAAATCAGAAAATATATTTTTAAATTAGAATATATTGTTAGGAATAAAACAAAATACATATGCTGTCTTTTAATGGCAGTTTTATTTTTCTAGAGAAGCAATTTTAAAATTCTCAAAATTACCTCTAAGTTAGTGAGTAAAGAAAATGCTTTAATGGCGATAAAATGTGTATCAAATGTTTGAATGTTACAGAAGAGATAATAATTAAGAAAAGAACTACACACACACGTAAACAATTTTTCCAAACACTATGAAACCAGGATATAACACCCTGTTTCAGTAAGCTAAAGAAGAAAAGAACACAGTGAACCTTAGGAGCCATTATATTGTCCTTTAGGCTTAAAATGAGCTAATTATTGTAACAGAGGGAAAACACTGGGAAGCAAATAGAAACATTGACTTTTTCACCCTAAATGTTACCAGGTCCTCATAGGCTACACTCACCCTTACATATACCTCTCTTCACCCATCACTCTGCATTATACAGCCTCTCTTTTCCCATGTTTTCACCCAATGTGTAACCTTTTCTATTTGGTTCAGAATATTTTTTTACCTCCTATATCTTTTGATGACCTTCTTTTCCCTCTGCTTCATCTCATTGTATATTAATTGTATACTAATTATCTTGGGGAGGGAAGGAGGAGAAGGGAAGGAATTAAGCACTTACAGAGCATCTACTACATGTCAAGCTCTTTACTAAGTGCTTTACAAATATTATCTCATTTGATCCTCACAACAATTCTATGAGGTAAGTGCTGGTATTATCCTCCTTTAATATTTGAGGAAACTTGGGAAAACAGAAATTAAGTAATTTGCTCAGGGTCACAAAGCTAGCAAGTATCTAAGGCTAGATTTGAACTCAGGTCTTCCTGAGCCCAGGCCTAACATTCGATCCATTGGGCCACCTACCTGCAGAAGTAATACCTCCTCAAAAAAAAAATCATATAGATAAAAATATTTCTTAATTAACAGTTTTTGAGTCTATTTATTTTATATCTCTTAATGGTCATTAAAAGAAACACATTGTAGAGCCAAAAGTCTTGTAATTATTACATACAATTCAATTCAACAACATTTATTAAGTACCTGTTATGTGGGAGGCATTGTACTAGGTGCTGTGAAAGATTAAAAAAAGACAGTCCTCTTTATGGTGCTTATAATCTAGAATGAAGGGTAAGAAAATAACAGTCATGTAATACAAATTATAGTATAGGTGTAGAGAAAATATTTTACAGCTTGCTATGAGAGATTTGAGAAGGGAGAGATAGCTTTCAACTGGAAGGTGCAGGAAATACTTCACAAAAGAGAAGACATTTGAACTGGACTTTGAAAAGTAGGAAGGTTTCAATTGACAGAGACAGAGTAGAAGAACCCATTCAGGTATATGCTAGTAAATGTTTAACAACCAACTTGCAGGGGAGGGGGCGTAAATAGGAGGGGATGTACACTCGACACACTTTTCAGTCTAATCTGGATGATTGGGATGGAGTCAAGATGGTAGAATATAGCAGGAAGAACACCTTCAAACAGACATAGAAAACGCATTCTTCTAAATCTTGATGAAAAAATCCAAGAAAAATTCACAGTGAGTCATTTTTCCAGCTCAAGTTGACATAAGGAGATAGACAAAGAGGTTTGTGGATGCCAAGAATGGGGCCTGGTCAGGAGTGCACCTTTTAGAGCATTCCATTGTAGAAAGAGGCTGTGCACCAGAGTAAGAAGAGTATAAATTGGCTGCTCTGTTGCTCAATACTCAATTAATTCTGGGTCACAAAACCAGGGCAGATTGAATATGGGACCCATACCTGGAGGTGGCCTATTGAGGTAGGGAGCGCTCATAGGCCCTGGAGTGCAAACCAAGAGAGCAAATTCAAAAGCACACAGCAACAGTATGACTTTTCCTCCAGGAGTAGAGCAGAGTTACAATTTCAGCTTCTAGCTCAATCTGAAGCCATAAGGGGAATAAACAGGACAGGAATCTCAAACCAAAGGGAGGGTTGTAGTTTTATCACTCTGAACCAGCAGAGCTTTCCAGCTGACTGATAATGGCTGAGTCTAGGAGCAATACTGTTGATCAGATCCAAACCCAGGCCAGGAACTTGCAAAGCTCAAACTGAGGGAAGGAGTGGGGAGCAGTGATCAGACTTTACTCCAGAT